GCGATTTGTCCCATGCGCGCGCAACCCTCTGCGGAGATCGTGCGTGTTGAGTGCGCGAAATGCAGGCGAGAGTGCGATTTGTCCGGTGGAGCTGGAAGCTGAGAACTGGCGACCTTGTAGTCGCAACAGCGTCCCACTAGAGTGTCTCAAAAGAGTGTCCCTTAAGAGTGTCCTACAGGAGTATCCCACAAGAGTGTCCTACAAGAGTGTCCCACAAGAGTGTCCCACAAGAGTGTCCTACAAGACTGTCCCACAAGAGTATCCTACAAGAGTGTCCCGCAAGGAGTTCCACAAGAGTGTCCCACAGAGTGTCCCACAAGACTGTCCCACAAGAGTGTCCTACAAGAGTGACCCACAAGAGTATCCTACAAGAGTGTCCCACAAGGAGTTCCACAAGAGTGTCCCACAGAGTGTCCCACAAGAGTTTCCCACAAGAGTGTTCTACAAGAGTGTCTCACAAGAGTGTGCCACAAGAGTGTCCCACAAGTGTCCCGCAACAGTGTCGCTGAAGAGTGTCTCACAAGAGTGTCCCTTAAGAGTGTCCGACAAGAGTATCCCACCAGAGTGTCCTACAAGAGTGTCCCACAAGAGTGTCCCACAAGAGTGTCCTAGAAGAGTGTCCCACAAGAGTTTCCTAAGAGTGTCCTGGGACACTCTTGTAAGACACTCTTGTGGGACACTCTTCTGGGACACTCTTGTAGGACACTCTTGTAGGACACTCTTGTGGGTCACTCTTGTGGGGCATTCTTGTAGGACACTCTTGTGGGACACTGTTCTGGGACACTCTTGTAGGACACTCTTGTAGGAAACTCTTGTGGGTCACTCTTGTAGGAAACTCCTGTGGGACACTCTTGTAGGACACTCTTGTGGGACACTCTTGTGGGACACTCCTGTACGACACTCTTGTAGGACACTCTTGTGGGACACTCTGCGGGACACTCTTGTGGGACACTCTTGTGGGACACTCTTCTAGGACACTCTTGTGAGACACTCTTGTGGGACACTCTTGTGGGTCACTTGCAGGACACTCTTGTGCAAGAGTGTCGTACAAGACTGTCCCACTAGAGCGTCTCACAAGAGTGTCCCTTAAGAGTGTTCTACACGAGTATCCCACAAGAGTGTCCTACAAGAGTGTCCCACAAGAGTGTCCCACAAGAGTCCCACAAGAGTGTCCCACAAGAGTGTCACAGAGTGTCCCACAAGAGTGTCCTACAAGAGTGTCCCACAAGAGTTTCCTACAAGAGTGACCCACAAGAGTGTCCTACAAAAGTGTCCTACAAGAGTGTGCCACAAGAGTGTCCCAGAAGAGTGTCCTATAAGAGTGTCCCACAAGAGTGTCCCACAAGAGTGCCCCACAAGAGTGTCCCACAAGAGTGTCCCACAAGAGTGTCCCACAAGAGTGTCCTACAAGAGTGTCCCACAAGAGTGTCCCACAAGAGTGTCCCACAAGAGTTTCCGACAAGAGTGTCCTACAAGAGTGTCCTACAAGAGTGTCCCACAAGAGTGTCCTACAAGAGTGTCGTGTAAGAGTGTCCCACAAGAGTGTCCTGCAAGTGACCCACAAGAGTGTTCTACAAGAGTGTCTCACAAGAGTGTCCCACAAGAGTGTCCTACAAGAGTGTCCCACAAAAGTGTCCCACAAGAGTGTCCCACAAGAGTGTCCCACAAGAGTGTCCTATAAGAGTGTCCCACAAGAGTGTCCTACAAGAGTGTCCCACAAGAGTTTCCTACAAGTGGCCCACAAGAGTGTCCTACAGAGTGTCCCGCAAGAGTGTCCTACAAGAGTGTCCTTTGGACATATTAGTTTTTCGATCGTGTTTGCATTCGGGTTCGTGGGTTCCATCTTGTTTTTGAAAGCAGGCTTACCGATCCAAAAGAGTTCAATGGGCATGCGAAGGATGAGGACAGTTTGGCAGACATGACCCTTGAGGAGAGATCTTAAGACAGCCTTCCCTATCATCCACCTGGGCGGTTCTCTATCCCTTTCTTGAGCTTCTTGTGAAGACCTTCAGGCTTGGTTGCCTGAAGTTGAACGCACCGAGGTGGGGGCCTGCTCCAGGAAAGCTAGGAGCAACTGCATCCAATATCCCAAACTAATCATATGGGGTTCTTTTCCAACAATTGGAGACTCAACAAGACACTCCTGGCACTAGGACAAGTGAGTGACAAAGCTTTGGACAATGGGGGTCCCATTTGAGACAAGCCCTCACCCATAGTGACCTATTTTTGGGAGCATGGCCAGGTGGAGAGAGAACTTTTGGAAGGTCTTCGAGCCATTTCTGCCATGCCCCCCAGTGGCGGAAGCTGGAAGCTGAACACTTCTCGAGTGTGAAGCTGAACATGAAGCTGCGATGAGGTTAGAACGAAGATCAGTGTCAACATTGGATTTCCCACGGAGGTGGGGTAAGCCAGGGTTCTATTGGGATGTGTTGAGTGTTTCGCCAACAATGACCCTGCTATAACTCGAGAGCCAGGATGAAAATGGGCCATGCCTTACCCTACTCACCAGTTTGAATCAAAAAATGCGACCATTCTGTCTTGCCCTCTTGCAGGGTGAGGGACACACCTTGAAAGACCATGGCTTCGTGATGTGCCTTGGCCTGAAGTGGGGCACCAGGACACACTGGCCGGATGGCGCCTTAATTCCGTTTTGTAGCTAATGATTCACCTGCACACCACGGGTCAAATTCAAGGAACAGCGAAAAACAACAAAAACAAGAGAGAGGGAGAGAGAGAGAGAGATATAGAACTATAGAACGATACAAAGATAGACAGATAGAAAGATAGGAATGGAATGGAATGGAACGGAAAAGAAAGGAAAGGAAAGGAAAGAAAGGAAAGAAAGGAAAGAAAGGACAATGAAAGAAAGAAAGGAAGAAAGAAAGACAGAAAGAGAGGAAAAGAGAGAGAGAGAGAGAGCGCAACCAACAAGAGGACATTGTCATATTTGTTCTTCGGTCTTTTGGGCCCTTTTTTTTCTCCGACATGTTTCATTGAGATTTTGATTTTCCATTTTGCAAGTGGCTGCCCAACCAAGTGGCTGCAAGTGACTCCCCAAGCAAGTGGCTGCCAAGTGGCTGCAAGTGACTGCTACTTCTGTCCGGAGAATATCATGATTTCTCCGCACGCAGCTCCGGAGAAAACCAAGATTTCTGCAATGCTATTCTTCGAAGAAATTCCGGTTTTCTCCAAGGAGCTGCGGGCGGAGAAATCATGAAATAATCCAAGACTTTTTGGAGAATAATTCACAACTTCTGCAGAGCTAACTACGAAGAAATCTTACAGCTTTTACCTGAACTCAGAGTGCAAGTGTAGAAGTCTACTTGCTTGAGTGACAAGTGGCTGCAAGTGGCTGCCTGGGCAAGTGGCTGCAAGTGGCGTCAAAAACAAAAATCAACATTTACGTCATTTGCTCGCTCACTGACATGTTTGGAAAAGATCCGAGGCGCTTTGCCAGACAAGCGTGGTGGAGCAATCGGATGCTTCAACCTCGGTGGGCAGGTGACAGACCAAAACGAACCCATGCCCACGGATTTGTAAGAAGGACAGTCCGACGGGTCCCTTCTTCACGGGTCCGTGGTATAGTTGGTAAGAGGGTAGCTGTGATTCCGCAGTGGTTCGGGGATCGATGCGCGCTGTGGCTGACTTTCTTGCTTACATGAGTGCAAGCATCAGCTTCAATGTCGTGATGTGGTTACAATACACCATTTGCAAGCACATTTTCGGATAATGTCAACTGGCCCATTGGTCGGTTCCCTTGCTTTCATGTGGATTGCTTTATCATTCTTCTGGGCGGCCTTTAGAGTAGGAGAAGAGGTTGACATTTTGATGTCTCATTGTTGCTTCACCTTAACGCAATCATTCTCCTTGACACCCAGATAGGTTTCACGATCTCATGGAGTAAAGGCTTTTGGTATCTGGCGTCCCGTCTCAGAAAGCAGCTTCCCACAGAAGAAACATTAGGAGCCGATGGGGAAAGAGAGATCTGACAGAAATCTTTCAATGGATCGAGGGTTCCCCGGCTCACACGATTCCATTTTTTTGGCTTCCGGTAAGAAGCCTTTTCCGCAAGCGGTGCTTGAACTAGATTCACTAGATGTTCTTTTGTTGGGTACTTCTGCGGCGTCCCGCAGATATGATTTGTTTGGATTGGACGGGCCACCGAATGCGGGCGGAGGGCAGGGGGTCCGTCGTACATTTGGGCTCTGGCGTTTGGCAGGCTCTTCGCTTCACATGGTTTTGCGTTTACTTCAATGCCCCCCCCCCCCAAAAAAAAAGAAAAAACACAAAACATAGCTACAGGCTATAGACGGGTGGAAGAGAGAGAGGAAAGGAGTGCAGAGCCGATGCCAGGAACAAGGGCATTGCTACTAGTAACAAGGGCATCGCTACCAGGAACAGGTGCATCGCTAAAAGCTACTAATAGCAAGAAGCAGCTAGAAGCTACTAGTAACAAGGGCATCGCTACTAGGAACAGGTGCTGTTTTTGATGTTTTTGGCATCTCCTCTTGTGCTGCCATGGACTAAGCGCCCCTCACGAGCACCTTGCCACCTCAGGCATCGACCAGTTTATTCATGCCGTAGGCGCACACTCCATTATGCATTCGGTCTGAATGCCACTAGCCCACAGGAAACCTTAGTGAAAAAGACACCTGATTAAAACCAGGTCCGAGGATCTCAGCAGGTACGTGACAGGCCGAATTTTCAATCTTGCAAGATGCAAAGTTTTCATGGTTCAAGATGCAAAGCATCAAAGTAATGCAGATTTGCACTTCCAAAGGCCAAAGTTTCCATGGTTCAAGATTTAATGTGAAGCATCAAATTGCAAATGCAAATGCCAAGTGCGTGTTTCCAACCTGCGAGCCAGACAAATGAATCACGCATAGGTATTTCCAAACTACAAGCGACACACATGTATAGGCAAGCAAGACAAAAGCATGTAAAGCCTCCTGTGTAGTATAGGTAAGCAAGGCAAACAGGATGAAAAGCCTCCGGTTCTAGCGAGCCAGATGAAGGAATCGCTCACAGCGGTAGTGAAAAGGGAAGAGAAGCGGCAGACAAGTCTGCCGACGAACTCTGCCTCCAGTTGACGAGCGAGACAAACGAATCGCTCTCCACTGTGGGATGTATTTGGGAAGACTTTGAGGATTGGTGGTGGGTTCAGCTTTTGAACACTGCCTGATCCCTGCAGATGCAATTCATCCCCTCAGATTGCAAGGGTTCGGGACTGGGCGCTCTCGCGACAGGTGTGATGAGCTGACAGATGCCTGAGCGTGGCTTGGTGGCAGGGGTCTTTCTGATCCAAACGAGGGAGAGGTTTTTGGAGCACCGTGCCCGTGATTTCCTGCGATGGAGCCAAGGTGGCCAAAGAGAAAGCCATAGTCATACAGAAGGCGAGGTCGTGATTTTTGAAGGAACCTTCAGCTGGTGGGCAGCATGGTGCATGATGATATGGGTGCCTTAGATCAATTTGACTAGGCAGGTTGGGGGGGAAGAACACTGTGAAGGCGTGCATGCTCGGAATGGTTTTGCATTGCCCAACAGCGCTGAGGTACTTTGCTTCCTGGCGAGCACCGTGGCACATCTGCAGTTAGACACAGGGCTCCGCTTGCGAACTTGTTTGCTCCAGGGTCTTTCAGTCGCATGCGAGCCCCATGTGGCGTCGGAGATCCTCGGCGCTGACGCATGTTGACGGCCGTTGACTTTTGGTTTCTGCGGATGGACTGTGTGCAGCCTTCAGGTCCTCATGATCCTCTCTACTCGCGGATCCGCGTTTCAGATCATCTCCGAAGAGATCTCCTATGTCAAGGAGAGGGTCACTCCTCATTAGTCCTGGTCTCCCACTTCCCATCAGGCTTGACTTGCTCTTGAACAGTTCCTTGAGTTTGGCAATAAGACTTGTCTAGAAGAACCTATGTCCTATGTAGATCGATACAGATCAATGAACCAATGATCAAACCAGCATCCTCTTTCCATTGAGAACATCAACTGTCCTATATCAACTGAGCTAGCTCCTTGCAGAAAAAACTGGCTCTCCGAGACGAGGTCTCTTGGCCGTCCGCCTCTCAGCCGCGTTGAGACGCCCGCCTGAGGAGGTGCGCCCTCCATACGGGCCAGAGGAGCAGCCCGTGGTGGATGCGCATCTCAACTGCAGCGACCCGATGACCGACGGGGACGTCGGGGCACTGCTTGGGTAGGGCTGCGCGGGGAACCCGCGGGGAGTGGGGACGCGCGTTCAGCGCCAAGGACCATGCGGGAGATCAATCAAATGTTTGCCTATAGACTTCCCCAGACAGCTGCCTGGCAGGATTGTGAAGAGTCGGTGGCACCAAAATGGAGTTGTTTTTGGAGCTTGCCATGGTGAGGGCTTGTCTGAGATAGGACAGCATTCAGTAGCAAAAGGTGTTAGTTTGGTTGCAACTGCAGGCGTTGTTCTACTCTTTGGCTGGGTCGTCCTTGGGCCTCTTCACTGTCTCCTACTTCTCGTCCTTCGTCTTGCTGGAGGACACGGTTGGGGAGTTTTCTTTTTCAGCAAGCTTTGAACTTAGAGAACACACTTGCGGGCTGCACCATGTGTTTGGTGTTGCCCAACGGGCCGTCCATCCAGGACCAAGGTCCCAAGCGCGTCGTGGACATTGGCTTCCTGATCTCGAAGGGTGTCAATGTGTATATGGGTCGGACGATCCCCGTGGCCGGCGCCTCAGAGTTCGAGCCGCCTCGGCCGATCTTCCGCCTCGGGCCGGAAAGAGCGGCGGCTTGGTTCTCGGACCGGTTTGGTGGGCGAGTTGCTTCAGAATCATTTTTCACAGCCTGAGCTACACGCAGATATGATTCAGCACAGCTTCCTGGATCTCATTTTCCTGTCCAGATTCTAGCACTTCTCTTCCTTGGCGGCTGGTATGTGCCGGACTCAGCTGCACTGGAATGGGTGTGCTGAAGAGCGCTGCATGTGACAAAGATCCGGTCCTGTGTTCTATGGTGCATCGAGAGTAGATGGTACAATCAAAGGTGGTTTATATGGACCCCCTCTAAAAGACATTTTGGGGTTTGGTGCCATCTACTCTGAAACCACTGTAGAATCACCCCTGAGACCGACTCCTTCGATGCTTCTGCTGCGAACCGACGGTCGACGGCAACGATGGTTTGATGTGCCGAGGTGATGGGAACTGCAGGCCCAAGAGCAGTTGCATGCTTCGCCGTGGGAGCAGCCTTGAATCTGTTAAGTGCCGAGTGCTCAGACTTAGATAATGGGTTTGCAGTTACGTTTGTTCCACGCGGAAATGAATGAGGGAAACGAAAGGTGAAGCGGTCAGTGCAACTGAATGTTGAACACATGGTTCACTTGTTTGCAGAACGCGGCGGCGGCGAGCTCAGCTGCAAAATCCGGCTGGGGGAAGGTTTTGGGGTCTATTGTGAGAACAACCATGGCAGCAAAACGAGAGAATGGACAGCGTGTTCAACAGTTGAAAAGGCAGGTACAGGTGGATGATCAGTCCACCCTTCCCTCGTCATACCGTAGCTTCGTTGCGTACGGTGGGCATGACGAGCCGTACGCCCCTGCTTGCAAGGTGGAAAAAACTCTTGGGGACAGAGTGTGACACAGAGAGAGAGAGAGAGAGATATTCATATGCATTATATGAATCAATATTTATGCACACCTGTTTGTACTGTGTATACATACATATATATATATATATTGTTTATGTATATAATAGACTTAGTAGATCATGACTATCACTACTTTCCTGATTGATAGTTCGAGACTGGTCCTCGCGGTCGGTTCACAAGGGCCATCACCCGTCCGAGGCACAGGTGGGCGTGAGCGTCACCGTGCAAGGGCAGACCCGTTTGGCCCATGCACTGGGACTGGAGCTCTTTGATGCTTTGCAGATTGGAGTGAGGCCGGGCCTGGGCCATGCAACGTTGTTTTCCGTTGTTTTCCTCTTTGGCTCATGGCATGTAGTGAGACTTTGCAGAGAACGAAAGGGTCTGGTAACCCTGGTAGGGGTGAAGTCGCCGATGCCAGGACGGGTTCCATTGGAGGATTGTTGGCGACTTCTTTGGCCCTCGGAGGCGTGCGGCGGACGCTTGAAACGGTGTGGGTTCCACCAAGCGTGTGGTGGCCATGTTCGGTGGACTTTGTTGAGGCTCTCAGTTGTGACAGCCCGCTCTTTGGTTTGTTTCTTTGACGAGTGGTGCCTGGAACAGTTTGCTGCTTGACTGGTTGCAAGCCAGGTATGGCTGGAATGTGGCTGCTCATCCAGGCAAGGATGAAATGCTTGGTGTCACTCGTTTTCAAGTTTTGTGCCCACCACTCGCAAGGATACATTGTCTTTGTCTGGCTTTGGTTCTGGTGCATCTATTGACTCTTGGACCGCAGAGCCACATGCACAGGGCTTTGGCAACCATGTGACATGGTTTGTGTAAAGTGGATCCCACTCTCGTTGGGTCATCGAGAGCCTTCCTGTGCCCGCGGGTTGT